GATACAGTGTGAACTGAAAAAATCAAAGCCAACCCCCTCCCATGTGGCCTATGGAAACATGTCAGGAGACGGGTCTAGAATGTGTAGTCATAGCTCTTAACCATAAACAACTTAAATGTCTGTCCATTAACAACATCATGGACAAATCGTGGTATATTCACACAGGGAATATTATCTATATATGTAAAAGGCTAATATGCAAAGTGTCCCCACAGGAGTTTGACCAGGAGACCAGGAGGTCTATTGCTCACTATGACATGCACTGACCACCAGGGGGTGGTGCAGAACGAAGGAAGGACCCTGCCGGTGGCCGGCAGCTGGGGAAAGGAGGCCCTGGCTGGCAGCCGGAAGGCCCCCATCAGCCCTGATCGCCAGCCAGGCCCTAGGGGACCCTACCCATTAGGGACCCTACCCATGCATGAATTTTGTGCCCTTGGCCTCTAGTCCAGTAATAAAAACAAAAAAAAGCTATAACTATATGTAACAATATGATGAATCTTATAAGGATAATGTGAAATTTTAAAAAGCAAAGCACAAAAGAATACATGGGGCATGATTCTATGTAATAAAGGTCAAACTGGGGAAATTTTAATTGTATTGCTTAAGGTGATAAACTATAAAGAAAAATGAGGAATTGCCACAGCTGGTGTTGCTCAGTGGTTGGAGCGTCAGCCTGCATATCGAAGAGTCATGGGCAGATTCCTGGTCAAGGACACATACCTGGACAAGAGTTTGAATCCCCTGCCCCCCAACCCCTGTGACAACCAGTCCAAGTGACTCTCTCTCTTTCTCCCTCCCTTCCACTCTCTCTAAAAATCAATGGAAAAAATATCCTCGGGTGAGTTTTAACAAAAACAAAAAAAGTTTTTTAAAAAGTGGTCGTACCTTTATATTAATAAATTGTACCTTTATGCCCTACTTTCATAATGTACATGTTTTAAAATAAAGACCAAAGGAAAACAAGTACAAGCCTATATTTTCCAGTGTGATCTCAAGTATACAGATTTCTATATTCGTGGAGTGGGGGAGAGAATGTGTGTGGGAGGGTGGATCAACTATCACTTTCTCTGGTTAGCAAAATATAAAGGAATTTATATTGTCTTCCTTATACATTTTGTATTTTTCAAAATTTTTAATAATTAGCAAGTATTACTTTGATAATAAGAATACAAGCAAAACCACCATCTGCCCAGTTCTGGCTCTTCAAGTTATATCTCTGCACAGAGTACAAGGGAAGAGACATTTCTCTCCTCCCCGCCAGAGAGAAATAGGGAGGGAGGAAGGGACACACAATTGCAATCAAAACAAGGAACCGCCACAGGGCTGGTCATCTGTGCCAGCGATAAAGCCTTCAGGGGCTCAGCTGATGGAAACCAGTAAAGATACTTCCTAGACACCCTAACCGGTTTGGCTCAGTGGATAGAGCGCCGGCCTGTGGACTGAAGGGTCCCAGGTTCGATTCCGGTCAAGGGCATGTACCTTGGTTGCGGGCACATCCCCAGTAGGGGGTGTGCAGGAGACAGCTGGTCGATGTTTCTCTCTCATCGATGTTTCTAGCTCTCTATCCCTCTCCCTTCCTCTCTGTAAAAAATCAATAAAAAATATTTTTAAAAATAAAATAAAATAAAAATACTTCCTAGATAACCCCAGAACTCAGACATCTCTGCCTGCCCTCTCTTTCAAGGCCTGGAAAATGAGCCAACAGCTGTGTAAGAAGAAAGAAGTATTATTTGATTCAATAATAACTATCACTTTTTAACTCATTATTGTCATAATATCACATTGGGACATTATATGCATTAATCCAATCATAATTGTTCACAAAAAATTCTGTAAGGTGAATATATATTTCACACTGATATTTTACACCTTATTTTACTGATATTCCAGGGCTTGAAAGAGGTGGAATGACTTGCCCAGATGTCTGAATCCAAAGTCAGTGACTTTTATACACTCCACCACAATTTACATTTATTTGTGTACATGTTGTAAAGTTTTCTCATCTATTGTTTTACACTCCCAACAATTTGTGTAAAATAGTTCAGAGTAGCTGTGTGATTTGCCCAACGACATGCAGCTAGTGAGAAGCTATATTCTTTGATGTTAATTCATTTCTTTTTTTCTTGGGGGAAAATTTTTTTTCCTATGCCCCGACTAAATGCCAATGCTCCTATGTCCTCCCATACATGCAGTTTTTACATTTAGGTAACACACCTAGTTATTACCTCCTGCAAGAAGGACAGAAATGTTAAACATGATATAGAAGTAAAAAAAAAAAAGTTAACCCCCTTAATAACATGGAGTGAGCAGTCAGATGCAATCCAGACATGGCTTTCTCATCACCCCCCACCCTTTGTTTTTGCAAGAGATAAGGTTAAGATAGAAGACAGGTTTCATATTCTGGGGCGTTTTGGTTGTAACTATCGGGTGATTTGCTTATCGACCTCAGCTCCCAGTTTTCCAGGGTGGCCCTCTGGTTTTCACTCTGCCCTAAGGGCGTTAACCTTTCAGCGGCTTACAGGAGTGAACATTCCAGGACCATCGCCCGCCCACCTCAGTCTCCCCACCCCTCGAGCCTCCTAAGGCTCCCTGGGAGTGAAGGCTTTCTCAACCCTTCCTTGGAAGGTGGGTCATTTCTTTGGAAGAAGGAGAGGGCAGTGGAATTTCCTTTGAAATGGGCTGGGTATGCAAAATGCAAGGAGGAGGAGGAGGAAGCGGAGAAGAGAGTGAGTCAGAGGAGAAAAGCTGCAGGGCTTGGCTAGCAGCGAGCCTCTAAAGCAGTGGGGAAGCTTAAGCCAGTAACAAGGTAAGAACAGTTTTTTTCTGTATACACCTCCAAAGCAGGGCCCTTATCCCAGGGCCACAGGAGTGGGTATCAGGTCACGGGGACAGCTAAACTGGGAGTTCAGTGATAACGTAAAGGGAGGGCGGCTGACAGAGACTCACCTGGAGAATCACCCAGAGAAAACGCAAGCTCCTGCCAGTAGCTCCTCCATCCACATGGCTCCATCCCTAAGAGGGTCTGAAAGAGCCTAGAATGCCAGCAGGGCTGTTTTGATGTGTATTTTGTAGCCAGTCCCCTGAAGCATCTAACTTGTTCAGATCCTGCTTCGGAAGTCAAGTGTCCGTACCCTCCTCCCGCTTCGCTGTGCAGGTGCTGGGGAGTGGCAGACCAGAGGTGCAGGGAGCTGCAGGTTTCCCCTAACTTAGGTGAAGGGTAGTGTGATACTTGAACATTCTGGGACCTGGAACCTAAAAGACCTGGGTTCTGGTTCTGGCAGGGCATTTTCACCACTGAATCAATTCATCAAAGTTCAGTTTGTTTATTGTAAAAAAATGGGGACGTGGACCACCACTGTCCCAAACAGTCGTACCTCAGAGACATTTTGGGCTCTGTTCCAGATCACAGCAATCAAGAGTCTCATAATAAAGCAAGCTGTAATCTTTTTACTGGTGGAGGTCTTGCCTTAGATTTTTAAAAAATGCAGCATCTGTCCCTGGCTGGTGTTGATAAGAGGTTAGAGCATTGGTCCACGCACTTATCATAGGTTTGATTCCAAGTCAAGAGCACATACCTAGATTGCAGGTTGGATCCTGGCTCAGATCCCAGAGTCGAGGAATGTACGGGGGCGGGGGGAGAGGACACAAACAATCCATGTGTCTCACATAGACGTATCTCTCTCTCCTCTCTCTCTCTCTCTCTCTCTCTCTCTCTCTTCCTCCCTCCCTCCCTCCGTTTCACTCTCTAAAAATTGATGAGGAGGATTAAGAACAACAATAAAAAAACACAGTATTTGTGATGTGCAATAAAGCAAAGTGCAATAAAATGGTGTGTCTATACTAGTATATCTCATTGGATTAGTGTTATGTCTGTGGCTAAAAGAGCTTTCAAAGTTGTGGGGCGCCATTAGCATGGAAAATAAGACTAAGTTATGAGACCAGCACATCAGCCAAGGTAGAAGAGATCTCTATCTTGTACAGCCTTGGACAAGTCTGGAACTTCTAACTAGAATTGAAATATTTTATATGTGCAAAATAAAAATATCTGGCCTCCGTCTTCCTTACTAACCAGGTCAATGAGGGCACTTTAAGCAGTAAAAAATGTTTTACAAATGTTCGTTCATTCATTCATTCATTCATTCAACAGATGTTTCTTGAGCACCTTCTATGTCCCAGGCACTGTTGTTGGCACTAGAGACATAGCAATGGCCAGGACCCAGTTCCCGTCTTCCTGGTCCTTTCAGTCTAGTTACAGTCTGTTACCATATGGACACCCTGTGTTCCTCCTGTGCTGGGTGCTTATCTCCACAGCTTTCCCAGGCCTACAGCTGTATGTGTGGGTGTTGGTTTCCTCAACCCAGCTCTGCTCTATTTGTTCTCTCTCTTCTCTATTTGTGCACATATCTTCTGCCATCTATAATTCCTGGTTGTAGAGGCATAATCTCACTGGGGAATCTAAGTTAGGAATGTGCCATGGGCTGGAATACAGGACTCAAAAATTGATGTCTGTCTGTTTTTCTCTCAGATTTATTTTGTTTCTAAAAGGCTACATGGTACCGATTTGGGGGACATCTATAATTCAGCCCTCTGTAATCAGGCTGCTCAATGGGGTCGCCAATCTGGTGCCTCACACGGTCCCTGTGCCTGACATAGGCGCCACCCCTGTGTCAAGATCCTAAAGTTGTCATGACTCTTCAATGATGGGGTGTCCTTTGTGTGCCAAGATGATAACACTTGCCCATCACTGAGGCAACATGTTTTTAAATTATTTTTTTAGAGGGGGGGCAGTGATGATGGGATATGCTGAGGGTTTCTTCTTCTTTTACTAACAGAGCTGGTTACGGCAAGGGAAGTGATCTGAGTACTCTGTTGCTCTGCAAGGGGGCTTTTATTTCTTATTAATAAATGTTTCTTAACATAATGTTCATTTCCCCCTAGTTTTAATTAAGACATGCTCAGTGTAGTAACTATGTTTTTGGAGTGAGGTTAACTGTGCCATATTGGATTGAACCTATGCCTCTGATGTATATATTAGTATCTTGCTCCATGCAATTAAGACATTATTGGTTCTGTGCTCTATACTCAATGGACTCACCTAAATTTTAGTAACTGGTACTAAAGAGACATTCGTGTACATTTTAGAAAAGGACAAGTTTCTGTCTCTGATGCATCTTGTTCAGTTATCTGCTTTGTAGTAACTGCTTCTTCCCACAGTCAACTATTTATTTATTCAACAAGTATTTATTGAACCCTAATCACTTGTAAGTTTTATGTATCTGTAAATAACGTGAGACATAACCTTTACCCTTAAGTTACAACCACCAGCGGGGAGACATTCCTCTACAGCTGTTTACTATAGAGTGAGAGGTGGATGCTAATGGAAAGTTTGGGGAACAACTAAATCTTAGAGGAAGGGAGATGACTTTCAGGGAGAAAGCAGCTATGTGGGCAATCTTGAGGGAGTAGTCGTCTTGCAAATGTCTCGGGGCTTCTAAACAGGGCAAGTTGGGAAGAACTGAAAGTAAAGTCTGGAGCCTATGGCACCAAAAGGAGGGGAGTAACCCAAAGATCAGATCATGAAGGACCCTGGGTACAAGACTTGGGGATTTTGACGTAATACTGTATGGGTTAGAAAGTGTGGGGGAGGAAAAATAATTTTTCCTTCTACACTTTTAAATTCTGGCTGAACTAATAATCAAATTAACATGAGGGAGATTAACAGGAGAAAATGACCACATTTTCATAGGGGGTTCCAAAAGAGTACCAGGCCCAAAGACAGATCGGGCAGTTAAGGCTTATACGCCATCTTGAGCTAAGGAGAAGGGAGCTGGAGGGGTTGTGGTTAGGACTTCAAAAGGCAGGAAGGTAATTCACATAAAGATGGGAAAACAAACAACAAGTGCTGGCCAGAATGTGCAGAAAAGGGAGCACTAGTACACTGCTGGTGGGAATGCAGACTGATGCAGCCACTATGAAAAAACAGTATGGAGTTTCCTCAAAAAATAAAAAATGGAACTTCCATTTGACCCAGTGATCCCACTTCTGGGAATATATCTCAAGAAATCAGAAACACCAATCAGAAAGAATATATGCACCACTATGTTCATAGCAGCGTTATTTACAATAGCTAAGATTTGGAAATAGCCCAAGTGCCCATCAGTAGATGAATGGATAAAAAAGCTGTGGGACATTTACACTAATGGAATGCTATGCAGCTATAAAAAAGAGGGCTCTCTTACCCTTTGGGACAGCATGGATGGACCTGGAAAATATTATGCTAAGTGAAATAAGCCAGTCTGAGAAAGACAAATACCACATGATCTCACTTATTTGTGGACTCTAATGAGCAGAATGAATTGACCAACAAAATAAGACCCAAAGCATGGAGGTATGGAACAGACTGGTTGGGGGGACCAGAAGAGATAAACCAAAGAACTTACATACTTACATGCATAGCCCATGCACATGGGCAATAGGGTAGTGAAGACCTGGGGGGTGGGATGGTGAGGGTGGGTAGGGGCTGGGAGGAAGGTGAGAAAGCGGGGGAATGAGAGATATCTGTAATACTATCGACAATAAAAAATATATTTAAAAAAATAAAACTAAATAAAAGGAATGAAATCCTGACAACATGTATGAACCGTGAGAACATTATGCTAAGCAAATAAGCCAGTTGAAAAAAGACAAATACAGTTGACCCTTGAAATGGAATTGAACTGCACAGGTCCAATTATACGCATGGGTGTGTCTTTTTTTTAAATACGTACAGCACTATAAAAAAAAAAGATGTAAAAGCAAACATTTAGTACAGAAATGTTTGCTGGGACATCTTTAACAATGGGACACAGAGAGGACTTTGATCATACTTAGTTTATAGCAAACTACAGCTATCTGTCAATAAGAGGCTCCCGGCCTGAAGCAGGTCTTCTAGCTGAATGATTTTATTCAATTAGGGCAAAGGCTAAAAGTTCTTTCTGAGTCTCTGTTTCTTAAAAAAAATAACTAACTTAAAATAATCAAAATTCCAGAAGGCATAATTTGGGGTGGTAAACTCTGCTTCCTCCCAAAAGTTGTTGAAGAATTTTAAGGAGAGGAGTGACCGGTTTGCACGTTAAAAAGGTAGTTTGGGGCAGCAGTGGCTGATGTGGAGAGCTGAGGAACAGAAGAGAGAGGCTACTAGTACTGGCAAAGCCAGGCTAGAGATGAGCAGATTTAGGATTCGGACAACAGGGAGGGCGGGATTCGAGGATGCAATTGAACAGGCAGAAAAGAACACTTGGGAAGGTGGAGCAGGGACTCTGAGGTGGAGGCAGGTCACAGACTTCCTAAAAATGCTTTTTAACGTCAAGGACTACAGAGGAGATGAGTGCAGAACAATTGGGGAAAGGTAGTGGCTAGGTTAGAAGAGATTGCCGGTTCCCTTTTCTTCCGGAGCCACATCACCTCGCTTCTCCCAGGGTCTCAAGAATATCCTTCTCGCCTGGCCAGGTGGCTCAGTGGGTTGGAGAGTCGTCAGTACACCAAAAGGCTGAGGGTTCAACTCCTGGTCAGGGCACATCCCCAGGTTGCGGGTTGATCCTGGTCAGGGTGTGTACTAGAGGCAACTGACCAATGTTTCTCTCTCACATCAATGTTTCTCTCTGTCCCCCTTCCTCTCTCTCTCAAATCTATAAAAAAACATATCCCCAGGTTAAAGAAAAAAGAATGTCCATCTCTACCATTTATTACGGTCTCTGCAGAGATGAGCTTTGCCCAAGATGCACCTTAAAGCATTCCCTAGCAGTTCTGGTCAGCCCGTCATGTTGCCTAGATCCAGGATGTGCCTCGATCCCAGAGATAAAAGATGGAACTCACTTGACAAAAGCATATTTTCTTTCTGGCCAGGGAGAGTGCCCATGGGAAAAACAAACAAACAGAGAAAGAAGTCAAAGGGTTTCCATGGGAATTCCTGAGAAGCAAGAACGACTAACTTCTGAGGACAACTGGGGACAGAGTCAGAAGGCCCTGCTCAGGACACCGAGTTGGCTCAAAGCTGGGATTATGGGGAGGAAAGGGGTAACTTGAAACGTTTACTTGTCTAATCCCAAGGAAAGGTTAGCTTTTTCCTGAGTTGATGACAGGCCCTGCTTATAAAATTCTATCCGTTTCCTTATAACTGTGCACAGGTCAAGTTCTTCTCTTCTTCACTTTCTTCTCTTTTGCTCCATTGTTTCAAACTTTTCCTCATGCTCACATGGCCTTTGGGAGAACATCTCTTGCTCAAGTTACCTCTTGAGTCTTTAAGGGGTAGGAGCATTACCAATAATGGCCTAGTGTCTAATCATTTCCACTTGGGCTCAATTTGAAAAGAACTAGGAGCACACCTTCGCTGTTCCTGTTCTAACAGTAAGGACCAAGACAGGAATTACCACTCATTGGCATTTCCCTCGAACATAGCAAAGCACTTTTTGGCCACCAAGGAGAGATGATCCTCGCTGGCTCCTTTTGGCACACAGGGAGGAAACGCATTGTTGTAATGAATGACAGAGAGGGGTTTCTGTGCCACCGACACACAAGGTTTGGCTTGGGTCATTGCACACTTCCCAGAAGGTTCAGGGGACTTCCATGGGAAGCCCATGAACTGGCCAAGAATGCTCTACTATAAACTCCAAATGTCACCTCTGTGGCTGCCCAATTCTTCCTCTGAACTCCATTCCCTAGAATCTCTGGAACTCAGGACCTACAGCATGGTTTGTGACCAGTATGAAGGCTTTAGGAGCAATAGATATCAAAGATACTTACATCAGTACTCTTTGACTTAGCAATTCTGTTGCTGGGGAATTAGCTTACATACATGAGTAATGATGTGTGAATATAAAGGTCATTATTGAGGCTTTTGAAATGGCAAATAACCCAAAAGTCCATCAATGAGGAAACTGGTTAAATAAATTGTGGTATATCCACACAATAGTATTCTATTCTATTCTAGTGGTAAAAAAGAATGAGGAAACACTTTACATATGGCCATGAAAGCTCTCCAAGACATACTGTTAAGCTAAAAAAGTGAGGTGTAGCGAGGGTGGATTAACTTGCTACTTTTTGCATTATAAAGAAGGAAAAATGAAGAACACATATACATTTGAATTTTCTTATGTATTAAAAAAAAGCAACTGAAAGGACTTAATAAATGAACTCAGTTGCTATCTGGGAGCAAGTTTAGAAATGGGCAGATGGAGGACAGTGTTAGTAGACTTTTCACTGACAGTGATGACAAAACACCAGCTAATAGGTAAATATTAGCTGTTAGTAAATAGAGAAGAGGTTACTGCTTCAGAAACAGATCAACGTTTTAGGTGTTCTTTCCCCCAGGACAATACTGTGGCCTCTTTAAAAAGTATGTCTTTACCTGTGTTTACAAATAGCTCTAGAAGTTTGCTAATTTATGACTAGGCCTCCTCCACAGACACAGCTCCTTGTCACAGGATTTCCCCTTGCCTACCGTGCAGTATGTGACAGACCGAGTGACAGGCAAGCTGTGGGCTGGCAAGTATCCCCTTAGTTCCTTTCGGCCTGCAGAATCTTAGGAAGTCTTCTTTTAAATTCTGAATCTGTGGGTTTAATGTCCATGATAATGATACTTCTTTTGTATACTGGTGTGTGTGTTTTATTTGATTGTGGGGTTTTTTCAATTTTTCAATTACAGTTGACATTCAGTATGATTTTATTTTTGTTTCAGGTGTACAGCATAGTGCTTTGACATTTATATAATTCATGAAGTGATCCCCCAATATTTAATGATATTTTTAGAAACAATTTGAACCATGTGACTATTACCTAGTAAAAACTTTTTTTTAAAATTGTGATAAGACCTGTCACCAGGAAAATAGCAACCCTGAATCCAGCTCCAGTTACTGTCTAGAAATATATTTTCTCTTCTTTATTAAAGCTTGAAGGAAGAACTTCTGGGTTATATAGTGATATGCAAATTAGCACCTTGCTACTATTAATATTTTATCCTTTGTGAAATAGGCTATTTTAGCTCTTTTTTAAAATTTTGATTTTTAGAGAGATAGGAAGGGAGAGGGAGAGAGAAAGAGAAACATCAATGTAGAGCAGAACGTCAATCGGCTACCTCCTGTACACCCCACACCAGGAATCAAGCTTGCATCCCTGGCATGCACCCTGACTGGGAATCAAACTAGCAACCTTTTGGTGCATGGAATGACACCCAACCAACCGAGTCACACCAGCCAAGGCTATCTTATCTCTTAATAGTTAGAAAGTCACTCAAAATGATCCAGAATCATCTTAACCCCTGAAGAGGGTTAAGATCTCCCTTGGAATAGTATTCTAACATGACGCTGAGAACCATGGTCTTGTCACACAAAGCGAGCCCTGACTGTGACAGGAGTAGCTCAGGATTGTATGAGCCTTACAGAGAATCACAAAGTGAAATTCGCTTCTCTAAATATTTAACACTGGAGGCCTAGTGCACGAAATTCATGCACTCGGGCGGGGGGGGGAGGGGATCCCTCAGCCCAGCATGTGCCCTCTCGTATTCTGGGAGCCCTCAGGGGATGTCCCACAGAAGCAGGCCTAAGCTGTCAGTTGGGCATCTTTAGTGCTGCCACGGAGACGGGAGAGGCTCCTGCCACCACTGCTGAGCCTGGCTTCTGGCTCAGCGGTGCTCACCCTATGGGAGCGCACTGACCACCAGGGGGCAGCTCCTGCATTGAGCATCTGCCCCCTGGTGGTCAGTGTGCGTCATAGTAACTGGTCATTCCACCGTTTGGTCAATTTGCATATTACCCTTTTATTATATGGGATCTAACAACTAGTAAATCAATCTAATATACTTATTCTGTCAGACAAAATTAGTTTACTGTTACCTACCAGAACATTTTAAAAATAATAAATATCTTAAATTCTTGATGAGATAGCATTCCCTAGGGTTGTCCAGCACACAACATGCCCAACCATTCTGGGCAGCCCTGAGTAGGTTGTGTCAAGTGGCCCAGCATCCCCCAAGTGGCAGCAAGTCCCTAACAGGCCACAGTATCATGACTGCAGCTCAGGTTGGCTCGCCACACTTTATAGAGTTGGCTATAAAGAGACAATTCTACCTAAATAGCTTCAGATAATTTATTACCTACACATAATGTGAGGTCAGCACTGGGTCAGCTCCCATGTTCCTAGTCCCACAGGATGAGACCAAATCAGGGGGACCACGTGACACTGAGGAGATAACTCCAAACTAAAGCCAAGCAGCTTTGTAGCTTGCAGCCATAACCTTCAGTGGACTGAGAGCACTGTGCTTCATTGAGATAAAAGAAAGGTAAGGTGGCAATCTCAAGAAAAGAGGGTGGCCTCATGGTAGTTCTTCATAAGCCAGCTTATCTTCCTTAGTTTCTGAAGGAATCTTAGGGCTTTCAACCACAATTTGGGCCAGACTGCAGTTAAGCTTTGCCTAGTGGCCTGAGTGAAGACGTGCATGTCACCAGGGCACCAGGGTGGAGCTGTTCCCCTACAATGATGAAATATGGCAGAGTTTAGAAATTTTTGATAGCACAAAGGACAAGAAAGACAAGGAGAGAGAAGGTAAAGAGCCTAAAATAAATAGAGCTTATTGACACACAGATTGCAAGAGACAGGAATTGATTCTGAGGAGGATCTGTGCAATTTGTTGCAAGAAGGCTCCAGCTCTCTGCATTGCTCACTGGTGGGGGCCGGGGAGAAGGTGATTTTGGCTGAGGAGGGAAGAGAAGGCAGACACCAAAACAACAGCCCATCACAGCCCCTCTGCTTGTTCCTTAAAGGTCTTCCACTTCAGCACGATGGTACTGCCCCCCAAAATGAGGCCACTGCTGTTGTTCCTGGTTTCCCAGATGGCCATCTTCATTCTATACATCCATTTGTACAACCACAACTTCAACTCCCTGTCTACGAGGGAGGAGCCCAAGCCCATGCATGTACTGGTCCTGTCTTCCTGGCGCTCTGGCTCTTCTTTTGTGGGACAGCTTTTTGGACAGCACCCGGATGTCTTCTACCTGATGGAGCCTGCCTGGCACGTCTGGATGACCTTCACACAAAGCACCTCCAGGAACTTGCATATGGCGGTGCGGGACCTGATTCGGTCCATCTTTCTGTGTGACATGAGCGTCTTTGATGCCTACATGAAACCAGGTACCCGAATACAGTCCAGCCTGTTCCAGTGGGAAACCAGCCGGGCTCTGTGTTCCCCGCCTGCCTGCGACGCCTTCCCACGGGATACCATCATACCGAGGGCTCACTGCAAGACCCTATGCAGCACACAGCCCCTTGAGATGGTGGAGAAGGCCTGCCGCAACTACAGCCACGTGGTGCTCAAGGAGGTGCGCTTCTTCAACCTGCAGGTGCTCTACCCGCTGCTGAGGGACCCTTCCCTCAATCTGCACATCGTGCACCTGGTTCGGGACCCCCGGGCGGTGTTCCGTTCCAGAGAACACACCACAAATGAACTCATGATTGACAGCCAAATTGTGATGGGACAGGAGCAGCAGAAACTCAAGGACGACGACAAACCCTACTATGTGATGCAGGTTATCTGTCAAAGCCAGCTGGAGATCTATAAGGCTGCTCAGACCTTGCCCAAAGCCCTCAAGCAGCGCTACCTGCTCATGCGCTATGAGGACGTGGTCCAGGACCCCCTGGCCCAGACTGCCCGAATGTATGAATATGCAGGGTTGAAATTCTTGCCACACCTCCAGGCCTGGGTGCACAATATCACTCGAGGCAAGGGCATGGGTAGCCACTCCTTCAAAACGGATTCCAGGGATGCCCTCAGTATCTCCCAGGCCTGGCGCCAGTCCTTGCCTTATGAAAAGGTTTCTCGACTTCAGAAAGTCTGTGGTGATACCATGAACTTGCTGGGCTACCGCCTCGTCAGATCTGAGCAAGAGCAGAGAAACCTGTCGCTGGGTCTTCTGTCTACTTGGACCCCTTGAGGAGGTTCTGTCCCCATTGGCACCAGCCTCAGCCACGTTAACTGAAGGCTACTTATGTCTGAACCTTGCTTATTCTCTGCTGGTATGTACACGTGAGCACAAGCTGTGCCCAGACATGCTCAAGCCAAGAAAGCTTTATAGCTCTATTCAGGTCTAGAAAAGAGACTCAGTAACTGTGTGTGTGTGTTTAGCACATTCCACCACTGGAGAAGGAATACTGCCATCTCTCTTTAGCCTTCCTATCTGTGTATACCTCAGAGACTTCGTGGCTGGGGTCCTATTTGGTACCACACAGTATCAGTAGAGTAAATCCATTAACTTCTCTGTCCATATCCTGCCCGATGGGAAAGGGGAGAGACAGGAAATGGGTCTTCCAGTAAAGAGCCCATCAGTCCATTCCACAGGGATGTGAACTCTGAGCTCTCAGAGTTCCCAGTGGGTTCAAAAAGGGGGTGAGGAACAGGATTGGACACTTACCCATGAGGTTGGACATCAGTTATCCATTATTCGTTATCACATAATATAAAACAAAATCTCTGCACAACAGAGCAAGCTCTGAAGTTTATGGGGTGGCTGGGCCTGATTTCCATGTCATTTCTCCTCAGTGTTTTCCTAATACATAGAAGATTTTGACCTGGGAAGCTACCATTTGTTAACATTAAAATTCCAAAATAAGATTCTGTTTGGAATGTTCACTTTATGTTTTCTAATTTTCTTAATAGTAAATGCTCCTTAGAGGATCCCAACCTAAGAGCATAATCATCTCCATAGATATTTTTTCTCTTGTTATTATCTACCAGAGGCTCGGTGCACAACATTCATGCACTGTCGGGGGAGGGTGTCCCTCAGCCCGGCCTGTGCCCTCTCATAGTCGGGACCCCTCGGGGGATGTCTGCCTTCCAGCTTAGCAGGAGCAGGCCTAAGCTGGCTTTTGGACATCCCCCGAGGGGTGCTTAGCACTGCCACGAAGGCGGGAGAAGCTCCTGCCACTGCCGCTGGGCTCGCCAGCTGTAAGCCCGGCTTCTGGCTGAGCACCACTCCCCCTGTGGGAGCGCACTGACCACCAGGGGGCGGCTCTTGCATTCAGCGTCTTACCCCTGGTGGTCAGGGTGCGTCATAACAACCTGTCATTGCGCCATTCAGTCAATTTGCATATTAGCCTTTTATTATATAGGATCACCCACACATAGAAAAGTTACCAAGATGTCCAGTGTCAGATGATAAAGTAAGTCTAAACTGATCAATACTAATTGATACATTGCCCTCTTAAGAATTTGTAGAAAGTAGACAACCAGCAACCAAGCCCTTTCTTTCTTGTGTGAGGCATAAGTTGTAATGATACCTTATGCATCACTCTAGAGCAGTGGTTCTCAACCTTCCTAATGCCGCGACCCTTTAATACAGTTCCTCATGTTGTGGTGACCCCCAACCATAAAATTATTTTCATTGCTACCTCATAACTGTAATTTTGCTACTGTTATGAATCATAATGTAAATATCTGATATGCAGGATGTATTTTCATTGTTACAAATTGAACATAATTAAAGCATAGTGATTAATCACAAAAACAATATGTAATTATATATGTGTTTTCCGATGGTCTTAGGCGACCCCTGTGAAAGGGTCGTTCGACCCCCAAAGGGGTCTCGACCCACAAGTTGAGAACCGCTGCTCTAGAGTCTGGGCAAGGAGTTTTTTAAATCTGATCCCTCAGCCAGAGGACCTCAGTCCCAGTATGACTGGTGATACTGAGCCCTTCCTGGTCACTTCTCCTAAGAAGAAAAGTTGTTTCTCTCAGTCTTTGCGACATTCCCCAGATCTAGCTGTGTATCAGAATCATCAGTTAAAAATGCATTTTGCTGGAATTGGAATCTCCCAGGACAGGGGATGGGATTATATAAAACAAGTGACCAGGTGATTCTTTCATGGCCAGCCTGGCAATGGGCACCAGCGCTGTTGGCCTTCTTGCTCCAAGACAGGTGACTTTTTATGGCATGCCAAGTGTCTATACCACTTACTCCTGATACTGCTGCTGTCCTCAGGTTGGAAGGCATTGGAAGAAGGTCTAAATCTATCTGGGAACTCCATGGGCCTCTGAGTCCTAACTTTTAAAATATTTCATTTTGTCCAAACTTGAAAGGTAACATCATTTCATCTTTCCTTATGTTTCTACATGCTTAAGTAGCTACCTCTGCCAGCTGTGTCTTTGAAGTTAATTTATATGGGGCTTTAAAGGAGTGAATTTATTCTAACATCCAAATCCAAGCCACTCTAGACACCTCAAGAGCCTAGGATCTCCCAGGCAAAGGTTCTTGCTTCCACAAACGTAAGACAGTGTAGCTGTAGCATAAAGCCATGCTATATAACCTCTTTAAAAATCGGACCCAGTGTTGAGCAAGACTTAGTGGGCACTTAGTCTCCTGTTCATGTGCTCAGGTGGCTGACAGTGGAATTCAGTGATGAAGGTGGCAGTACACCAATTGTGGCATATGGGGAGTTTGAGGAGCTGAGAACCTGTGACGAGCCTAGAAGATGGTGTTCTGCTAAACATCCTTCCTAATTTGGAGACATCTGTTCCATCCCTAAATCCAAGCAACAGAAAGGCACCTATTTGCCTGCTCAGCCTATGTAGCTGCAGGGGATCTGAGGGTGTTTAAACACAGATGAGGGGGCATTTTATCTAAATTTCTCAGGGCTAGTATGCAAGTTTGGGGAATGAGCTCTCTCATGTCTAGATCAAACAAAGTGGACTGAACTGCCTTATTTCAGGTCAGCAATTGATGTTTTCACAAAAACCATACTGGGAACCTACCCTAAGCCCTCCACTTTGGGGAGAGAAAGGAGTCAAAACATTTTAGATAGTTTTTTGGAGGGTGAGAAAGAGATCATTTTGAAACAAAGGGGCTTAGACTGACTGTCATTTAACTCTGTTACTAGATGGCTTCATTATCCATATAATGAGAACAATGGCTAAGTTTTTAGTAAATGTTAATTAAAACTATCCTTTTCAACTTATGAATAGTAGTTATGGAGAGAGATGGGAAGGTTGAATCAACTTCTGATTATTTTTGTGCAAAAATCTTCCATTATATTATCTGTAACATGTTTCTCAAAAAATAGTTCATAGCCCTTGCCAGGTGGCTCCATTGGTTGGAGTGTTGTCCTCTACACCAAAAGGTTTTGGGCTTGATTCCTGGTCAATACCTAGGTTGTGGGTTTGATTCCCAGTCGGGCACATATGGGAGGCAATGTTTCTCTCTCTCTCCCTTCCTCTTTCTAAAAGTCAATAAACATATCATCAGGTGTGGATTAAAAAACTTTTAAATACAGTTTATAATTGACTATGTGATTTAAACCCAAGCTAAATATAAATTAATTTTACAGACTATGTACATTATCATGACTTCTATTAATTATTTTCACAGACCAGCAAAGCAAAATTTAAAATGAATATATGTGAGTGACAAAGGCCAGATAACAATAAATCTCTGATAGACATTAGTTTAGGATTCCCAATAACCTGTCGAGGGTTTTGCCCCTCTTCTGCACAAATGTTCCCGGTCATTAAGAGAAAGGTTACTTTTGAAATGCAGTATTGAGGGAAAAGTAATGATAAATAACCAGAGTAAGGAGATTTGAATATAGCATTTCCATTAAAGGGTTGTTCATTAATTTCATACATTAAATGGGCATCTACTATATGCCAAGGTATGTCCTAGGTGCTATGGATACAGCAGCAAACCACAGGCAAAGCCCCTCTTTTCATGCAGCTTATATTTCAGTTGGGGAGTGGCACAACAAGCAATAAATATATGATCATATGTATTACAAGTAGGAGTAGATTAGGATAAGGAGCTACGGGTGAAGGGCAGTAATGTATAAAGACGGTGATAAGGAACGCTATTACTGAGGAAGTGATATTTGAGCACAGATGCTTGTGCAGCAGACATTTGGAGCAAAGTGCCCCATTAAATGCTAATGTCAATATGGACAGAAACAATAAGGGTCTAGTGACAACCTGTCATGTGCTCGGTGCTACGCTGAATTTATACAGAATGAAGAACTACAGATGTTATAGGAAGGACAGTATGACAGGAGGGTTATGTGCTCATGAGCACATGGGCTCTGGAACTATGCTGCCCAGGTGACTCTTATTACCAGCTGGGTGAGCTCAGGCAAGTCCCTTAACATCTCCATGTCTCAGATCCTTCAGCTGTAGGGTGGGTACAATAATGGCAGTACAGAGCGCACTTAGCAAGTGTCTGGCACACACGCAGGCACTCCCTAAATGTCAGCTGTGAATATCATGCTAACACCTGGTCTTGGCTCTCAAGGACTGTCTTCCATCATTTCTGGTAACATCCTCATTAAGGTGATGCTTAACAGTAGATCACGAGCCCTTTATGGCATTGCTGATCATACTGATAGTGATTAGGAGATGATAGCTTCCTGATCTTCTAGTTTCTTTTCAGCAGAAGTTCTAACTGGAGGCGATCCCTTCCCCCTCCCTCCCCCACCACCCCCTCCCCATCATTGCTCCGCCTCCCTGCCCCAAGGGACATTTGGTAATGTCTGGAGACATTTTTGGTTGTCACAACTTGGGGCTGGGGGTAGCAGTGTTCCTGAAATCTAGTGAGGAGGAGCCAGGAATGCTGCTAAACCTCCCTCCATGCATAGAAAAGCTCCCTCCACCACAAAGAATGCTCTGGTCCACAATGTCAATAGTGCAGTTGTTGAGAAACCCTACTTTAATCAGAGAATAATACATGAAGGATGAAGAGCTGACGATTCCAATAGATTTCTCTTCCATCCTCATTCAATCACATTCAATCTCACTCAAATAGCACACTACCAGCCAAGTGTCCTGACTGGGGAGATGCCACAGCCAGGGCTCTTTTGGTCCCCACTCAAGTCATCTCAAAGAGAGTGGCAGAGTAGACATTATAAAAATACAGAGCAGGCTGATCGGCGTGGCTCAGTGGTTGAGTGTTGAACCAGGAGGTCATGGTTCGACAGCTGGTCAGAACACATGCCCGGATTGCGGGCTGGATCCCCAGAAGGGGGTGTGCAGGAGGCAGCCGATCAATGATTCTCTCTCATTGTTGATATTTATGTCTCTCTCTCCCTTCCCCTTCCTCTCTGAAGTATATATATATATATATATATATATATATATATATATATATATATATATGCACACACACACATATATATATATTTTTTTTTAAAAAGAATGAGGTACATTTCATAGAACATTTGGGATTCATTGATTGCATCCCAAATCAATGTGATTTAAATGGCTAACTACAGAACAAGTAAATGTGCTAAATGAAAGGAATAAAGGCTCCTGTAAAGATAAGGTGAATGGAGGAAACTCTTGATTATCTAAC